AAGGAAGTCTTTTGTACTGAATACGCATTAATTAATACGTTCAAGAAAGTATTTACTATGGGTGAAAGAATTGTTCGAGATGGATTGTCGAAAACTCGTGAGCTTCTTTACCAATTAACTTAACGACCCTATTTGATAATTATGATCTCGAGGGTAGCAGCGAAGCGATAAAATTGAGCGACTTTACAAGTTTTGATCAGAAAGTGCGGTTCGTTAACTATTTTGGAAGGTCATTATGTAATCCTCAAAGTTCATATGTGGCACGTTTTTTTCGTGGACGAATAAAATCGTTCCCACTCACCTTTATGAACGGATCAGGCTATTCTTGACGATAATACGTCAACATATACCATCACTGGTTTGACAACTCGTCCAAACCAAGCACTCGTTAGTATTGCCTTTGGATATTCGCGACGTTATCCCTACTACAGCTCAACATTGCATACTTTTTTATTCGGAGGAGTTTACCTTTAGGTCAAGTTTCCCCTCCCGATACCCTACTTTCCGCAGCGACTTAAATTGTCACCACTGAAACCGCGAATACGGTAAGTTCTCAATAGTTAATGAAAATGGTTTGGTCGCTTCTTTTAATGAGTATTGATAGCGTTACCGAAATGTACAGAAAAATAAGAGCTAACAGTAATATGATAAAAAGCGTCATTAAAGCAAAAACGCTGCTAATCTTATATAATTAGGTCATGTATTAGTTAATTGATTAATACGAATTACTTTTTTTCACCCATCAGGGCGGTGGTGGTAAGAAAGACTTTTTTAGAAATTTGCATGATAACAAGGTGATTATGGCTCTTACTCTTATTTCTTGAATTCGAAACTTCATATCGAGCGAGCCTTCGTTTCATCATATCCGAATACTCGTCATCCGGCAACGAGAATTCCTTCCGCAGACCCAACACATGAGGCACCTTCATCCCGAACGCTAATGACGATCTCTGACTCTTTCTTGATCCAGTAGGCATTGCCGTGTCTGGTTTTAAAAAGGTTATCAGTTCTGATGCCGGTGTCGCAGGTGAATGAGGTGTCGAAAAAACAGCGGCCTCCTTGGATGAAGTTCGTCGCTTTGATTTTGACGTACGATATGTCTTTTCTTTTGATTTCGACGTAGTATTACGATTGGTACGTGTATTAGAATGTTCATGTGATTCTGATTTTAATGTTATAGCTTCAGATTTCTCAGCTCCACGTTTTCTCGATTTTCGCTGTCTTGTTGTTTTCGATTCTTCCACCTCTTCGTTACGATGCTTTGCCACTGTCTCTTCGGCCGTGTTATTATTGACAGGCTCATAAACCTTTTTCTTTTTCTCCCCAAATCCAAACGCATCGTATTTTTTTAATAGAGACTCG